TTTTAATGAAGACCTCGTATATTTTTGGCATATCCTTGTTGGAATAAATGGGTTAGTAAATGTTGAAGCACATCTGATACACGTGGTCTCACCTCAAGAAAGTGAGCTTGTTAAAAACTGACTCTGTTCACCCAACAGAAAATGGGTACCCGGTGAAACAAGTCGTGACACTATTAACCATCTAGCACCTCAGAGGTAGCGTGGGTTATCCGGGGTAATAAGGATCATATTTTGCGCTTTGAGCAGGATATCTAGCCTGGAAAAGGAGCGTTATAAGTATTTGCATTATTATTAATACAGCAGTGTTCTTGCTACATCACATGGTAATGAAGACATACAAGTTGAGTATAAGTTCTTAAGTTCACAGTGATACAGAATAATGGCTTTAATTCTGATTGTTTTAATGTAACCAGTGAATGTACAACTGTGCATGCGTTCCGACTGAAGCATTGCTATGTTGGGAACAGTCGTGTGAGGCTACAGAAAAGATGCAACCTCCCTATGAGCTAGCTTTCAGACATTTGCACATTGAGATTCGATGGTTGGACCACTAATACCTATGCAACAAAATATGAGCTATGCATGGGTATATGTCATCCTAAAGTGTTTACACCACCTTAAAGCAATATTTTTCTTTGTGCATTCACATCTTACCACACGTAGGTCCAGTGTAGAACTCACGAGAGGCGCAGGTGCAGGTGTCTCTGTTCAGTGTTCCTCCATTGAGACACGCCTTACTGCAGGTGTTCGTCTCTGAAAAATACATCAACAAAACGACATAAACATTACATTAAAAACAACGATAATACTGTCAGTCAGTGTTTGGTAATGTAGTTGTTTTTATCACCCGCAACGCGTTTTGCGGAGTTGGGGTAGGAGTCGGGGTTGGGTGGGTTGGATGGGCGGTTTTTGGGAGAGATAGATTGTCCTACTCCATTTTAACTTTTACAACGACTTACAGAACATGAGATATGAATGGATACACGAAGACTTTACATAAATGTGTTCTACATTAGCTGAGATTTTGAAATGTTATGCTGAAATTTAGAACTTACGACATGTCGTGGCAGTGTAGAATTCTGTACAAGCACATGTGCAGGTATCACTGTCCAGTGTTCCGACATTCAGACCTGTTATAGTGCAGGTGTTCGTCTCTGAAAGGGAGAACTACAAATTTAAAAAGTAATAAAAAGGTAAGTATAAACATAACTTATTATTGTTCAACTGTTTCCATTGTTGTGTAACATTTGGATTATTTTTTTTCTAAATAATAGCATCTTGGATGATGTTTGCACGGCAGAGAAGAAGCTGGAACATGAAAGGTCACAGCTACAGGTGTCTCTGTTCAGTATTGCTCCATTAAGACATGACTTCGTGCATATGTTGTTTGTGTAATGCAAACCAGAAGCATGACTAGTTAAATTAAGCATGAAAGAGAATACTATTGTACGATTGGTATTTGACGTTTAGGTTTGTAATGTATGGTGTCATTGTTTTGCATAATCGTCTGTAAAACAATAGAAATGTTAATGAAAAATATGAGCAAAAATGTTGAAAGACCTATTTGCAATATTGCGATCAGATCTCATTACGTTCTCATGCTCTTGATGTCTGGTAGGTTTATATTTATTTTCCTATTTTATTGTCATGTTTGTTTCAACCAAGGATATCGCAGCTGTGTTACAGCAGTCTGAAAATGATTGAGACTGGTCCTGACAATCCAATGACTGACGTCATGAGCATCGAGCTGTGAACTTGCATCAACCAAATCGACGATTCTGTCACCCAATTCCGTTTGTCGCCAAGGATGGACAGGTGAAGATCAATTCTAAGCCACGGGACTGCTGTCGGTGGTAGGTGGGCGGACAGGAGGTGCAAGAGGGATGGTCTGTACTTACAAGAATATACTGGCGTTCATTAGTGCCTAACACTCTGCAGGAGACTTCCAATTGAGACATATGGGAGTTCCCGTGATACATTGCTGACGTCTGAAACATATCAAACTGTTTTAATAGTTTGTGTCAGTGCTGGACAGTCTGAGCTGTATGGACAGTATGGACAGCCTGGCTAATTTCTACACAACAGACAAGACAAGACATGACACATATTTCTAGACTTAAGTGGGAATATTTTCTCACTGGTGTTTGAGACAAACTATGAGACGAAGTTGACTCGTCAGCATGTCGATGTGTTTTATGAATCCTAATGATAAATAACCATAATAATGTTCATTATAACCGCGCCGAGTGGTAGAGTGAGTGAGTGAGTCTTCTACATAGAGTGAGTGAGATCGTCTTCTACATTTTCTTACAACACCTCAATCCACAGCCAAACTCGGAAGCGTGGAAGCGCGGTTCGCTTACCAAGCACCATGGTAATATCATATTTCTTGGTTTCATTGCGGACATATACTCCGCGATGTCATGTGGAAACCAAGAAATAAGATATTACCATGGTGCTTGGTAAGCGAACCGCGCTTCCGCGCTTCCGAGTTTGTCTGTGGATTGAGGTGTTGTAAGAAAATCTAGAAGACGATCTCACTCACTCTATGTAGAAGACTCACTCACTCACTCTACCACTCACCCACTCACTCACTTTGTATTATTGACAACTTTAATTGTACACTAACCTATGGTCTATTATTGATTTCTTATCGATGGCTGGATGCTGTGAAACGCAGGGTCACGTTATGTTTTTACAATATACTTTCTGACTGCGACGTGAAAGGAAAACAGGAATGCGACTATATACGCCACACAAATCGAATAACTGATTATTTCTTTTACTGATAACTGAATGTGTGAAATGTTTTGTCATGATATGGTGTGTTTGTTTGTTGTTTAAAAGCAATTTTCGAACTATATGGTGTACGTAAATAATCAAAGTAGACGTTTGACGAGACCAGTGATGTCACCTCATCTGTTTCATGTTTGTATGGTAATTTCACAGGAGACAGTTTACAAACTTGAGCCTGCTCAAAACAAGTTCATCGGGTAAAAACTACCTTGAGCCCCACTTCTAACTTCGATGGACATCGTTGCACGGATATAACGCCTCCAGCAACTATTTGTCCATCCATGGACAACAGCATACCTGCTATGCTTGACTTCTTATTCGATCAATGTTGCCAACATCGACATTTCGGGTTTTTTCAGTCCAATGTGATGGAACCGACACTTGGCTCTGCACCTTTTGAAAGCATTCCCGCAACTGTGTGAGCTCAATCCGGTTTATGCGAGAATGCCCACAAAACTCGTCGCACATGTGGTAAGGATACTATTCATTAAACTTTAAAACCATTATCGACACGTGTCTTAAAACTTTATTTTATTAAAATGCAATGTCGTTCATAAGAAAGTTAAATAAACTATGGTACTATATCTCTGACTGTCAATGGTGCAATTCTGGTTCAGATATCGTTGTATTTTCTGTAACATAATATTAAATGTGCAGCATGCACTTAAAGAAGAAGAAGCTGTCTATCCACAACAAAGTGTTCCTATTCATCATACCGGCTTCTAAATTCCACTTAAAGAAGTTACCATTCACATGTACAGAGTAATGATGTTTTTGCTACAAAGGCAATGGAACTCCCATTAATTTCCTTATTTACAGACTATATTATTTTTGAGAAATATGAGATATTGGCAACAATCTAAAGTTCGCCCACAATTGTGGTTCTTCATCAATCAGTATTTTCTTCATAAAGACGTACATGTTTGTTTTACAGAGATACAAGCGCCAGATACACTGACTACCACAGGTTACGAATAGGAATAATACTCGGAATAGTCCACCCATGCCTTTCTGACTACTAGTGTACCAGAAATGAATGCATCTTTAAGCATGTTTAATTATTTGTAATTGTGTCAGACGTTCCTCATGCAGTGATGATGTTGTATCATTTGTCATGACGTTGTGAGTGAGTGAGTGAGTAAACGACTGCATGAGTAGGTGAGCGAGAGAGTTGTGTTAAATCATGGACGGAAGTCCGAACTGGGGTTGGTGGAAGCGCTGATTGGATACAGAGCGCCCATACACTTACAAAAGGAAATGGAATGTGGATTCGATCACACAAACACAGGTTCCAGGCACGCCCAAGGGGCGCTACTCTAGACGGCACAGTGTTATTGTTGTTGGTTGTTGCTGCTGTTGTTGTTGTTGTTGTTGTTGTTCGCGGCGCTCAGTAGTATTCCACCTACACAGAAACGGGTCTTGAAGGAGCTAGAGAACAGGATCCAGAGATTGAAAGACCCACTCCGGCAGAGAGCTATGTCGCCGCTAGAATTCCTAGGTTTCGTCCATATTGTTGTAAATATATGATTCTTATAGTGCTTTGTGTTATTTGTCAGACCGCCTCCGTGGTGTAGTGGTTGGAGCGTCCGACCGGAGAGCAGAAATTCGCGGGTTCGATCCCCGACCGCGTCATACCAAAAGACGTTAAAATATGGTACTTGTTCGTCCCTGCCTGGCGCTCGGCATTAATGGGTGCAACAGGGACTGGTCGGCTCGGAGTCAGAATAATGTGTCTGAGTGGGGTATTCATGCTTCATTGCGGCATGGTATCTCAGTGGGCTAGCACTATAAAACCAGCTTAAGACTGGGCTAGTACAAGCAGCCGCACATACACATACACACGCATGCCGTTGAACCCAATTTCACCTCACCTCACATCTTATTTGTCATACACAAGTATGGGCCATTCCAATCTAAACTCTCAGGGTAATAGGAAGGAGATTAGATGTGCAATCATCTGTAAAGTTGTTTTCATAAGGGTGTGTAACAAATGGAAATTCCGCATTTCCTGAGGCGCGCCCAATGGAAATACCGAATTTACAAGGGTCTTACAGTACCGTACATCCTTTAAAAAGACGCCTTTATTACCCTTACGATCTCCTGTTTCAGATTATCTTTAAAAACAACATTCAATCTTCGGCAGAATAAGACGCCAAAGTTCAACGCCATGATTTATTCTGAACGTTCATAAAGGGATGGCTTAGTTTGTGATTAAAATGATCGAATTTAAGGTTTTGTTAAACAATTGAAATACAGAAACATTTTATTTTATTTCATATTTTTATTGACACAAACAAAATCTTTAATACGAAAATATGACAACAATTTTAATAGTATGTTTATACACACAATTGTATACACCTAGTCTAAAACTTCGAAGCGATCAGCCGTTTGGCAGCCACATTCCATAAGGTAAGGTCATCTGTAGAACCAGTGTATTGTGTCACGTGCATCCCGGCAAATCCGCCTACATGGTTTCCTATGCTTTGCCTATTGACCAATCAGAATTCGGCCTATTCATCTTAAGGGTTATAAAGTGTTATGAGTACTTTGGAATACTTTGTCACAAATTAGCCATAACCTGTATTGCTGTGAGTCCATGGGTATGGTTAAAATGAGGCGTTGAGCAACATCCTTTATAATACCACGACCAGTGACACAAATGTGTTCCCATGTGAAGAAGCAAACACGGACGCCAGGCGTGACGAGTGGACGCATCAACAATTAGGCTAATCAAGCGTATGTCTGTATATCAACAAGTACACATTCACACTATACATGAGCAAGGGCCGCATTTGTATTTTCTGTGTTTGTCATCGCTCGACCGACCCTCCTAAATTTTATTTGCCCTCCCAAAAGCAACAAAAAAAAAGGAACAACCCGAAAAACAAAAACAAAAAACTTCTTTTTACATTCCAACGCCGCAGACTCGAACGGTCGTGTCATATATAATGTATAATGTTTATCTTCTAATCAGTCGCTGACACAACTCTAAAGTACAGGAGATATTGTAAAAAGAATTACATAAATGAGTATCAAGAACATTTTTAAGATAATTTTAGTTTTATAAAGTTTTTTGTCTTCGACCGACCGACCGACTCTCCTCCCACTTAGTTATATACACGCCAAAACATTTGACATAATCATTACTCGTAGACATATTCATGAAGAGTATTTTGCCATTGCGGGGGATATTGATGACTTTGTCTTCTTATTACCAATACATACATGTACACATGTGCATTTTCCGCGATTCTCAAAGCAAATTGGTCAGCTGACGTAATATGACATCACAAACACTATTACCATATTAGTATGAAATCTACAATAACAGCACATTGGGAAATAGGGGATATGTTGTTTACATGCGAAGCTACGGGTACATACACGTTGTCTGGCAACGAAACAAAGTTGTTTATGTGATGAGATCATTTCCAAAGAAATCAAACTCAAAACACATTGTAACAGCCATGAAGCCCGTGCAAGACCTGTCATTCCAGATTCACCATTGCCAGTCAGATTCGATTGTGAATGATGCACATTGTATTCTTATAACCAATCGCTCAAAAATATTGGATGAAAAAGACGATTTAGTCATTAAGGAAGGAACATTATTGATCATGCAATATTTACAACACGAAGAATATTTATGTTGCAAAGACAGGTTAAGGTGGGAACACGTTCAAATATTGATGCCAAGTTCTCAGTCTCTCATTAGCAGATTATGGGCCCCATACAACAAACACATTTGCTCTGAACTCCTAACGAAACCAATCCCAGTCTATGAAACTTATAAGCGACCAAAAGATATCCTGGTGCATATTCTATTTGGATACAGGGCTGTGTTTGTTTCTGATATTTTATTTCGTCATAATGCCATATTATGTTGCGGGAGTTTTTATGGCTGTTTAACACTCAGCATGGAAATCAATATTGACACACATTGACAAATGCGTGTACAAATTCACATGAGATATTGATCAGGACGTATCAAAATACTCGGATGTTAGCAAGTACGATTCATATTGTTACATTTGGCCTCCGGGATCTGAGGTTACCTTCAATCTGAAAGCGTGTTTCTGAAATACATCTGTTGCAGAAAAGCAGAAAATGTCTGTTATGAAATTGGCCATGTACGCCCTCGTTGCCTGTCTAACGGTGTCGGGATTCGTAATTGTGTCCGGAAATCCTGACAGTTGCTATGTGAGCAGTTTGATGGAGACAGGCTACAGATTGAAAAACGTCAGTTACAACTTTGAAGTTAAATCCAGTGTTTTCAGTTGTGCTGCCACCTGCGTCATGACATCCATTTGTACTTCATTTGATTTCGACCAAAGAAGAAAAATGTGTTTCCTTAATTTTAAAGATTCGTCAAATGCTGCCCACAAGCCAGAACCTGGGTTTCTACACAGTGACATCACCAACTGGTCGGAGGTAGTGTATCCACACATTATTATTTTCGGTAACTTCCTTCTGTTCACTGTTGCTGTTAGTTCGAACACACCCGGTGTCCTAATCTGGATTTCTGCACAGTGACATCAGAAACTGGTCGAAGGTAGTGTATCCATACGTTATTGTTTTCGGTAACTTCCTTCTGTTCAGTGTTGCTGCTAGTTGGGGATTTACAAATTTACAGCTTTCATAGTCACGATCTGACAGAAATACTGGCGATCTGACTTGAAATTTTAACTCACTTACTTACTGGTTGTTAGTTCACAAACACCCGGTGTCCATATCTTCTACACAGTGGCGTCAGCAACTGGTCGAAGATAGTGTATGTATACATTATTGTTTTCGGTAAAATCCTTCTGTTCAGTGTTACGGCGGTGGGGTAGCCTAATGGTTAAAGCGTCCACCCGTCACGCCGAAGACCCGGGTTCGATTCCCCACATGGGTACAACGTGTGAAGAACATTTCTGGTGATCCCAGCTGTGATATTACTAGAATATTTCTAAACTCGGCGTAAAGCCATACTCACTCACTCATTACTGTTGCTCTTAGTTCGCGAACACCCAGCTTTCTCATTTCATATGTCTTCCTACATTTTGTCTATTACGTCCACTGGAATTTGATTCAGTTCTTACCTTCGTCTCAATCACAAAGAGAAGTAGTTGTCATCCATATATTTTTCATTATTGTATTTCGCAAATTCTAAAATGCCGCTTAAAGAAGAGAATGGGTGTCGTCTTGTGTGGACGGAAAGTATTGATACATGGTGACAAGGTTCCAGTAAAAAAAGTTCGGTAACGCGTAGAGATAGTTAGTATTAAATACCTGTCTTTAAAGGACAGTAAAACAGTGAGGTAGGTATCACACTTTAGGTATAAAACGAACCAAATGAATATTAAAACAAAATATTTTTTATCAGATTATTTATTATGAATGAAACTAATCTATAGACCACGAGCAACCAAAGCTAGATCACCTTATTGGTGAATCACAGTACAATAACCAGCTTCTCCATCCGTTTCATTTCCCAGTATTGCAACACTTTAAATCTTCAGTGTGGTCACCAGTGGCGTGTGTGTAATGCTGACCATATTGTGCATTACAAAAACAAATAACACAACAGGGAATGGAGCCAGAAAAATAGTTTCAGCATCACTGGGTCTTGCTCAGAAGTTGTTTGATCAAGGTTACAACATTCAAGGCCGCAGTTGTAAATCTTTCGAGAAACTTTGGAGAAGTCATTTTGGGTCGACATTGGAGGAATCACAGTTTTCCAGATTTGATGCATCAGTGGCAAATGATGTCTGACCAATTAAAAAACAACCCTATTTTGACATATACTCATACGTTCCCAAATTATTTCAGGTTAACAATGATTAGATTTAGCAATTCCCTATGTCCATACGACAGGGTGCCACTGGTGGGGCAGGATACGCTCACATTTTCGCGAACACCTGGTATCATCACTATTTCATAGTGATTCATAAACACATGCTCTGTCATCGTATCGCATGGTGGCAATCACTGGATTGTCTGGTCCAGACTCGATTTGTTTACAAACAACATCATACAGCTGTAACACAAATATCTGCTCATGATATAGTCACAACTGTACAATCGACTGCTTTTGGCAGAGATTTCTTATGGATGTGGAAAGGGTTTTGTTGCTTCGATGGCTTAAGAGGCAGTTACATGCATGTAGATAAAAATACATATTTGTTCAGTATAAAGACTACAATATGAATGCAAGATATGTACATACAAGGTGCTTAAGTTCGCAACACCAACATATGTATACTATATATTTAGAGCATATACGTTGAAAATATGTACGAAAACATTTACAGTAGACTGCCTCCGTGGTGTAGTGGTTAGAGCGTCTGACGGAAGCGGAAGATCGCGTGTTCGATCCCCGGCCGCGTCATACCAAAAGATGTTAAAAAGACGTTTAATTATGGTACTTTTATGTGTCCATTCACATAAAACCAGCACGCATACAGGTCGTCATATGAGCGAAATATTCTCAAGAACGATGTTAAACCCAATTTCACCTCACCATGTTTACAGTAATGAGCAGCATAACATGAAAGCTTCTTTGATAAAGTTTGCATAAAGAGCTATAAATTTAGGGTTGGCATTTTGAAGAAGACTTATTAGACAATGGTCATTAACATATTGAATATTTATGATATATTTTAGTCGAAACCTATTATATTATATATTCTAGCGTAAAATGCATCTCATCTTCTAACATATTCTTAAAAAATGCACACAATCTTGATTATCCAGTATTTACTATCAGTATTCATCGTGATTTTTTATTAACCTAACCTTAAAAGTGATACATATCTTCTTGAATATTTATTATGTAAAACTACATGCAAACAATATGAGCCGTTTTCAGGTGTGTATTATGTATTCATGAACCTGTATATTTTTAAGATGAATGTAGAATAACCTCCTCACTGATGGAAAACAAAATTTGTCATGACAGTATTGACAGCTACTCTTCACAAGAAGTAGGGGATAATCGCATACAACTTCCTCTTCTCGCTTTTTCCCCGAAATGCCGTGCGCTTGCCTAGATAATAGCAGGTGCCCTCCGTTTGTCCTTTGTTTGAGCCCAGGACTAATACCCACTTCAAGGGACACTAGAAAACATCTTGAAATTTGCAAAATTGTATGAGATATTTGGTTCTAATAGTTGGATAATTCTTAACAAACTGGGAGCACAGTACAACCGGTAGTGAAGCATTCATTCACTCAGAGAGACGAAAAGGTACTCCCTATATGAAGATGATGCCCGTGGAGATCCGGGGTAGAATTGGTCTACAACAACCAATG